ATTTTGTATGACAGCTTTTATTCTTCAACACAGCCTAAAGTTTCTTAGGCAAGCTTTCTTTTCATTTCTTTAAGCTTCAGGAATAGTTCTGCTTCTTCAAAGCTCTTCTTTGTTGGCTCTTTGTCAAGATGATCCCTCACAGCTTCAATAATGTTGAGGATCAGACCCTGCAGAGGACAATCTATGACTGATAGTTCTCCATTGTCTGTTGGGTGTTTTTCTATCCAGGTATACTTTTACTACATTAGCAGTGTTTTTGGAATCACTGACATGCTGAAAAAGGAAGCCACTGGCAATCCGATGTTTTCCAGGCGCTTTTCCATGGTGGATCAAAATCATTTTTGCATTCATAATTCCATCAGTTTTTACATGAATAGAACCTCAAACCATGACCTAGTATCCACTGTGTTTAACAGTTGGCTGTAGACACTCACTGTTGTATTTGTCTTTCAACCTCCTTCTTATATACCGAAGATTTAAACCAAAACTTTAAACATTCTTATTCATCGCTCTGTAGGACCTGTTACCACTGATTTTCAGTGTAGTTTGACATACCTTGGCCTTTCTCCCTGTTTTCTTTCCTTATGACTTCCTGACAGCCATCCTTTCACTGAGGCCATTTCTGATGAGGCTTCAGCAAGTAGTAAATGGATTAACTGAAGTGCCAGATGCATCTCTCGAGTCTTGTGTCAGGGGTTTGCTGGATGTTTTCGAGTTTCGAGTTTCTTAAGGACATGTGTAACATATGTGTTAAATACTTTTGAATTTCACCCAAAACACCTTTTTTAAATTAAATATGTCATTTTGCATCTCAATCTCCTACCTGTGTGATCTGAGTCTGTGTGCGTTCGTGTGTGTGCGCGCTGCGTGGTGACGTAGGCGCGCGCATGTGTGCCCGGTCACAGCTCCTTTCAGCATGGCCGGAGGAGAGGTGTACTGGCAGTCGCGTGACACACACAGAACAGACACTTATTTCTGTGTTGCAGATGTGCAGTAAAGAGCCAAAGACCCAGTACTGTCTCCTGCCTCTTACTTTCACGCCAGAACACAACGCAAAGACGGGCGTAACACATGAACGGGTTACACATGACTTTCAGATACTGCTCATGTGTTATAGACAGTTTTTTTAAGCTGGCCACTTATTCTTTTCCAGTTTGTTTATTTTTAAAGCAAACACTGTTCACCAAACCACCATGGGCCAAGTTTCTACCTAAAAATATTATTTCATTCTTGTTATATTTGGGACTTTACATACACTTTACAACAGAAATAGAAACAAATTATTTGGTTTTTTTTGATGGGCCACTAGTATCAAAGCACCTAAAGATAGTGTCTAAAACCAGTTCTTTGTTAAGTTGTTTGTTACACAACAGTGGTTAATCACTCAACATTGGTGCTTCCTTTTATGCTTGAATGATTCATAGGTCAACATTCCTCTGAAAATGGTCAGATTCAAGGAATAGTGAAGTGAAAAAGAAGCCAATGTCTAATTAATTTTGGAAGACTTTCGGAAAGCCTGGATAACTGATGCCAGAGAAAATATAAAAATATTAAAGAAAGTCTGGTTTCTTGGAAGCAAAGATATCAAGATATCTGCACGGCACTATACATATGCGATGGCGTGAGACAAATTTTAAAAATAGCCCATTATTACTTCCTGTATGAGGAAATCTAGACACGGAACATTCCTGGTTAGGCTGTGTAACTAAAAAGTTGGTTCCTTATCTTCGGTTGAGGAATTGCGTTTTTTAGTCCAAATCTGTGTTTACAGGCAAACACTTGCTCTGACGTGGCTCGGCAGTGATCTCTGGCTGGAGCGGAGTTGTTCATGTGTTATTAAGTTGTATTCAGTCGGTCAGTGTCCGCCCAAGACGTTAATCATTGATAACAAAGGGTCCGCATGCTGCGAGACGCACAAAGGTGCCTGAAAAGCCGCTTTTTACTATCGTGCTTTTTTTTTAACTTGGCTCAGCTTTGCCATTTCACACACAAATGTGCTGCTCGTAATTAAGCTCTGTCGCTGTCAGGGTGATTATGTAGAACGCAAGTAGTGTTGCTGCAAGTGTCTCCATCATATCAGGAAGTGAAGCAGCATGTGTTCAGCGGACCGTAGATACTTTTTCTTTTGTTTGACTGTGGCATAGTGCAGCCGTCTGTATGGCACCATCTGTTCCGTCGCTCTCTTTGTTTCACCGCTCCACATCAACCAGCAGTGGTGTCGGCTAATAGTTTCCTCCAATTTCTTAAGGTTTCACTTACCATACCGTCCCGTACGCTCCGGTCCCCACCTGCTTCAGATCCCGGTACCGCTCCGGTACTTCCCATGATGTTTTGTTAATTTCCAGGCGGTGATAGCCCGGTCTGATTCGCGTATTCATCTTATCTATTATAAACTCGATAGGCAGTACAGCACAAGCCCCTTTTTTTTAAACTTGTTTAGGCTCTTCCGGCGTTACGATCTCATTGTCCCAGATCCCACCTATGCGCTCACCCGCGATCATTGCGCAGCTGTACTCAGGGCGCACCCTGAGGTCGCTAAAAGCCACTCCCGAGTCCTGCTGTAGTAGGCCTACAATTAAAGGTGAAGAAGAGAAGGCAACGTGAGAGAAACGAGCACGTATCGAAGAAAGAAGCGCTTTAAGTGCGTAAAACCTGTTTAGCAACCTAAGGATATGATTTCATTTTATAAATACACAAACGAGTGACACATTAAAGAAGAAACAACAACCTTGACTGAAAACTAAATAAAAAATGCTCAGAGTAAACATCTAAATGATGTTCAAATAGGGGTAGACAATGCTTTAACTGATAGGACAGATGGAGTCACTCGTTGGTTTAGCGAGTAAGAAATTGGCGTGAAACGCGCCTTGGCTTTCGCGATCCGGTTGTCTTTGTAACTTGCGTGTTTGCCACATAGTCTACATTCAATTGTGCTATTTAGGAGCCTACAAAGAGCAAATGTTTCAGGCGTGTTGGAACAGGAACGTTACTCAAGCCAGGAGGCACCAGCTGCGCTTTTAGAAATCCTTGAACGTGTCACCCAGGTAACAGAACAAGGAAACAAGCCTATCACAAAACCAAACTGGAAATGTTACATGGTCACGTGTTCTGTGTGACATTTACACAAGAGGACATTTATTATCTGAGAGATTAAGAAACAGTGACAACATTAAAATGTTACGCAGACATGGATGTGGAGTTTCCTTCTGTAACTGAACTGCAGCTATGCCACAAAGTCAAACAAAGACACACTGACTCTTGAGCAGTCAGTTTATTGATTCGGTTAGAAGAGCTCAAACGGACATTTCACATAGGCGCAACATGTGATGAGTAGTGCTGTTGCGTATGTAGTACAGTTAATACAAATCTATGAATGGCTGTCTTCTACTCTTTGCACAAAAAAAGTCTTTTTGTGGCACACTCTACAACTAACTTCCTCTTTCTGTGCAGCCACAAGAAGAAGAAAGTCAATCGCAACATCCTGTTCTCGTTTGTCCTTCGCTAAACTTAGTTACTAGACAACAACAAAAAAGGAAATTACATCCGTGCCTCTATGAATGTCTTGACAGCTGCAAAAGAAAATGCTTTCTAATATAGGAAAACAGTGTGCGTGCTTATCTGCTTTATATTGTGCGTGTTTGTTGGCTGCAGCATCCTAATCATGTACAGTAACACAGTTTTAGCCACAGATATAAAATCATCATAACACATTCACTCTCTCACACACATATTTTTGGTATATGT